CTGGTTGAAAATAATGATAATGATAAATAAAAAAAATTTAAGAATTATTTTATATAACTTTATTTATGTATTTATTTTGTTTGTTCATTTTAATTTGACCAGAGAGGAGCAGAGTGAGAGAGGGAAAGTGAGAAAGCAAGCTTCCAGGTCTAGGACTTGAGCAATAGTTGGCTATGTGGGAGTCAAGCACCATACTACCTGCTGGCCCCTAAATTTAAAAAAGAAATACTACATACGGCCTGGGGCTCTGGATAGTCTGAGGCCCTCCTTAGCCATTAGCTTCACATTTGGCTGGAGTGCTCTGTGAGTGAAGGGAATCACTCATTTCTCCCTTTTGACAGTGTAAACATTTGATCTTTTTAAAGGACAGCCTCCTGTAAGTAATATCAGAGACATAGGCTTTGATACAAAGGTAAGGTAGGTGAATCAGCATCTGCAGAACTAGCTATGAGACAGCTATAATACACGTAAGCTGCTTTATTTTTATTGTGAAGAACATTAACAATAAATGCGGTCAAAGCTGTTGTAAGATAAACTAGATTTGCAGAAAAGTCCCAATCTTTTCAGCAGTTCTAGGTTTAGAGGTAGCCTTAATCTCACATGTCCTCACTGCATTAAACAAGTGAGTTTCATACGATAGGCCCTCCAGTGGCATAATTTTGAGGCTAGCTCTATATTACATTTGAAGTTTTTTTTTTTTTTTTTTTTTTTGAGAGATTTTCGCTATAGGGCACGTACGCTCGCCAGACAGACAGAGAGAGACATCGAGACAGAAAGCGAGAAATCACCCCCCCAGGGGGGATGGTCACGCCGCAATCCCTTCTCCTCCATTCTCCTCTCGGGCTCTTGGGCACGCACGTACACGTGCCCGGCGTGAGTTTTAAGCCACCGGGTCCGGGACGCGAACCGCGGTTGACTACGTGGGAGTCCAGCGACATAGCCATTATGCCAACTGCTGGTTCCCTTGAAGTTTTTTTTTTTACTACTGTCCACGTCACAGTTTGAAACCTGCTGATAATTCTATTTAAGAGGAGAAATAAAAATACCAGTTTTTAAAGTAAGAAAATTCAGTCTGTTTTATAAGAGTATGGTAATTTTTTAAAACATTTTTTATAATTATTTAATTTTATTTAATGTCATTTTTAAAAATTTGCTATAGGGAACATGTGTTCCCAGAGGGAAAGAAGGTGAGAAAGCAAGCTGCCAGGTCTGGGACTCAAACCGTGGTCAGCCATGTGGGAGTCTATGCCTTAACCACCACGCCACCTGCTGGCCCCAAAGTATGGTCATTTCGGCCAGAACCAAGAATACCTACTTTCTTTACTGTAAATTGAGACAGTGTCAAAGATTTAGAGTCATAATTTTGGAGCTGTTTACCTTGAGTTAGAAGACACTTGGACCATATAGGATTTGAAAGCCTTATATTCCAGACCTAAATGTGGTAGGCCAGTTTCCTGTCATCAAGCAACTGAAGGAATAAGCCTGAGGGCTGAATAAAAGGTTATTTTTATTTCTGTAGACAAGACAGATGGGCAGTGCAGGAACATAAATACATTAAAATCCTTTTGCACATCCCTGCTCCAAATAACCACATACACAATACTTTTTAAACATCTGCCCATCCATGCCTGGAATGGAGTTTTCCAAGACTGGGGGTGATTATGGCTTCAACCCATGGCCCCACGTCACCGAGTCAGTCCTCTGTTGAGGCATGGCCGGGCCCTGAAAACTAGTCCACAGGCCTCAGGGCATCTAGGCCTCTGCAACAATCAGGTCTCTGGTGACTTGGAAAGCAGCAATGAGGGAACTCAGCTGAATCTTCTCGTTAGTGCCAACGGAGAGTCTGTACCTAAAAGCAATCAGACAGAAGGTGAGACAAAAGAATATCACAGATAATGGCCCCCTTTTTTGGTACAAGAACGAAAGAGATCAGAGGCTGAAAACCTGTTGGAGGGGATGGGAGCTGAGAAAAATGTATCCTGGATAGCAATCCCGTCTGTGTCATTCTGACCTTTCCTTCTCTGCCCTGGACACGGATTGCTAAATCTGACTCACTGGTGAGGATACAATTAAGGTGGGTTTTTTGTTGTTTGCTCTAGGGCATGTATGCTCACAGGAGAGAGAAAGGAGGAGAGGGAAAATAGGAAATCAGTCCCTGGGGGATGGCCATACTGCAATCCCTCCTCCACTCTCCTCTTGGGATCTTGGGCATGCATACACACACCCCCAGTGTGATTTTCAAGCTGCCAAGTCAACTTGAACCATGAACCTGGCTACGTGGGATCCAGCTGCCTTAACCTCCATACCACCTTCTGGCCCCAGCTTTTTAAAATTTTGTATCAACAGCAGTGTTGTGAACTAAACTTTGTCGTAACTATATGAATATGCAGAGTTTATATGGTTGAGAATTATTTCTAGATCTACAAGATGTATTAATTAATTGGTTAAAAAAAATCAGGGGACTAGCAGACAGCGTAATGGTTACATCGCTGGATTCCCATGCAGTCAACCACAATTTGAGTCCTGAACCAAGAGGCTTCAAACTCACACCAGGCACGTGTGCATGCATGCCCAAGATCCAAGAGAAGAGAGTGCAACATGGGCATCCCCACTGGGGAGTGATTTCTCACTTTCTGTCTCCGGTGAGTGCACGAGCCCTATAGCAAAAATCTCTCAAAAGTTTTCCTTTTTAGACATTTAAGGAGGAGGTTTGGTTGACATATCTGTGTAGGTGGTCTAGTTAAAACAAGACCCCTGGCAGTACACCTTGCCACTTTTTAAGTACCGAGCCATCAAAAGCAAAATCACATTTGCAATGTAGTGATAAAGAGTGCTCTGATTTGTGCATGTGAGGGGGGCTAGCAGGAGGGTGTGGTGGTTAAGGGCGCTGGACTCCCACATGGCCAACTGTGGTTCAAGTCCCAGACCTGGTGGCTTGCATTCTCACACTCCCCCCCCTACCCCTGTCCCTCTCTGGTTAAATTAAAATAAATACATACATACACACATACATACATACATACATTGCTTTCTTACTCCCCCCATCCCTCTCTGGTCAAATTAACAAATAAATACATACATACATACATAAACTTTAAAAAAAAATAAATAAAAGCCAATGACGGCATGTTGGCGGTGGCCTACGCTGACGTCTGTTTTGAACCTAATGCTCTGTCTACTTAAATGACAGCTGCCAGCTTCACTGGGGGCTAATAACAGTGTTCACTGAACCAGGCAAAGTGGAACATTGAGTCTGTGTTTACTTTCCCAATATGCTTTAGTGTGCCAAAATGCCATAATAACAGCTGGATAGCTGGTCGTCCCCAAACGCCCTGGATGTCTGAACAGAAGCAGGCCTCCCAAATAACAGGAACATTATCAGAACCAACGTGGGCCAAGCCTCTGAGGTCTAAGGAAAAGCCTTTATCCCAAACAGGTAACTGATCTGTACTTGTCCTTTGTGTTTATTGCTATGGCCCTTGTTTCTTTTTTTAAAAACTTTATTTCCTTCATGAAAGGGAGAGACAGTTATCCTCAGTTACAACTGCCCAATTGGCTAGGATCGCAGGCATGTGCCCAGCGTGTACAGGCTGACCCCAGAACCGAACCCTGCTACTCCATGGGGCGTGCAGCATTGCAGTTTGCACTGTGGCTGCACCACAGTGGCTGGACTTGTTCCTAGGTATGAATTGTAAGTATGGAAAAATAACAGACTCATAAGCAAGTCACACCCTTCCCTATTTCCCTTCGATGTGACCAAAAGCTAGATCCTATTACTTAAATGATTTACACAAGCTGAAACCAAGCAAGTAAAAAAAGAAAAAAGAAATACTCACTCGATGTCTGCCATTTTGGTTAGCAAGTGTACCCGAACTGAAGATGGAAAGTCAACTGAAAACAAAAACAAAATCAAATGAGCAAGATCTGTCGCTCGCTACTATCGGGAAAAAACCTGAGGACAAGTATGAGTTTAAACATCAAGGAGAAGGCATCCCCTAATGAGGCGCAATCCTGCCACGATCCCATTGCTCTGTCCTGGTGGGATTCTGGAGGTGCTGGACTCCCACATGGCCAACTGTGGTTTGAGTCCTGGACCCAACAGCTTGAAAATCATGCTGTGTACATTGTGTGCCCAAAATCCCAAGAGGAGAATAGAAGGAATGTGGCATGGCCATGCCCCTGAAGGATGATTTCTCACTCTCCCCGTCTCTGGCCAATGCACATGCCCTATGGCAAATATATATATATATATAAGAGTTGGTTCATATCAGCTTTCACAACCAAGGTGCACAGCAGCAGGGCTTCGTGAATCATTTAGGCAGAAGTTAACCACACCAGCCAGCCAGCAGGGCTGCAAGGCCTGGGTAGAACCATCGTTCACTGACACTGACCCGGTTAAGTCTCTCTGCAGTTGGCTATTAACAAGGGAAGAGCTTCTTAAAAAGGCTGTGCGATGGATCACACAGGGAGCCTGAAGACACAGATGCCCACGTCCCCAGGAGGCTGGCTGGATTGGTCTGGGTGGTTTGTATGTACCGACAAAGCTGGGAACCAGTTCTCTGTAGAAAGCTGCAGCAAATGTGGAGCTTAAGATGGTTTCCTTAAGACAGGAAACCTTGGTTTCGTTTCTATGCAGATGTATCTTTTCTTTCCTTAGGAGAAAATATTTTAGAAATGTGAATTAAAATATGCACTACTTAATACTGTATAGTAGAAACCCCTGAAGGAAATATAGTGGGGTTTTGGGACCATTTTAAAATAGCAAGACAATTGCTGAAAGTGAGGGGTCAGATTTATACTCTATTACTTTGTTTGTGTCTTTGTTTCAAGAATGAAACCTCATGTTCTCTAACCATTCCTTAACCCCAGAGCATTCTGGTTCTCCACAGTTCTCAACGAGGGATAGTGCGTTACCTCTGTGCACGAACAGGTGTATCTCTGTCAGGATATCATGTAACGCCAGCCCCTTCAGAGTTTTCAACTCCATAATATCTAAAGAGAAGCAGTTAAGGCGAAGGGAAAAGGTTCCAGAACAAACATCCAAACCCTGGCCAAGTGCTTTTATGAGGCAGAGTTAATTTTTTCCCCTAAATTTTGTCGGAGGGTGCGTGTGCTTGCTGGACAGACAGCAAAACAGAGACAGGGAAAGTGAGAAAGCACCCCCTGGTGGGATGTCCATGCCACATTCCCTTCTCCATTCTCCTCTAGGGATTTTTGGCACACACGCACCCTTGCCCAGTGTGGTTGTCAAGGCCGAGACTGAGACATTGGGACCTTTTTTCTGAATCCAAGACTCAAACTGTATAGTTGGCCATGTGAGATCTAGCCACCTTAACCACCATGTTACCAGCTGGCCCATAAAGCAGAGCTTTTAATCCCAACAATGGTTTCTCTTTCAGTTTGAAGCTGCACATGTGGACTCCACTGTCTTATTTTATCTTAAAAGTTTTTTTTAAAAACAAAACAAAACAAAACAAAAACTTGTATCCCTACTAGTAGAGAATAAAGTCAGGCTTCATACCCCTATTCTAAGCTTTTAGTTTCACAATGAGCGTTAACACTGAAAAGTAATGCATTGGGGCCAGCAGGTGGTGTGGTGGTTAAGGCACTGGACTGCCACATGGGTGACTGCAGTTTGAGCCCAGGACCTGGTGGCTTCCTTTCTCTCTCTGGTCAAATTAAGTAATAATAATAATAATTTAATTCTTAAAACAACAACAAAAACCTAACACATTTCCACTCCAAGGCCTAAATGCTTTTTTCCCATCTATGAGTAAAGGTGCCTCAAGCTTTTCCCAGGCCAGCGCCCGACAGGAAGAACTTTGGGTTGTTAAAGACAAGTGCATACAGGGACCAACACATAGTGTCATGGCTACAATCGCTAGACTCCCATGTAGTCGACTGTGGTTTGAGTCCCAGACCCAGTGCCTTAAACTCATGCTGGGTTCGTGTGTGTGCGTGCCCAAGATTCTGAGAGGAGAGGGGATTGCAACGTGGCCATCCCCTCCAGGGGGTGATTTCTCACTGTCTCTCTCTTTCAGAGAGCACACGTGCCCTATAGCAAAAACCTCTCCAAAAAAAAGACAAGTGGGTTACAACAAGCTGACCAGAGTCACACCCAGCCAGTCGTCCTCTGCTAGCAGGTATAGGTGCTGCTGCGGCCTGACCTCCTGGGCCCACCTTGGACCTTAGGCACTACACCTGCCAGGAGGACCCAAGAAAGGATACTTCTGTAGGCCGTGGTGAAGTCTTGGTTCAACATCCAGTCCAGAATGTTGGCAATGTCTGACCTGAGCGGGTGCCCTGTGCAGGTGTGGACTGTCTCCTCTGTCACCTTCCCAAAGGCCATATTGGTGCTCTGTGCAGACAGACAGGTCACAGTGACTGTCACAGCAGCGGCCAAGCTACAGGCGGCCAGGAAGAAATCTCTGCGGGAGAACACAGGTGAGCAGCACACCCCATGGGTACAGGATGGTTCAAGCCCCGTATTTTACACCAGAAAGGGTTCACCTCACCAGGTGATGCCACTGTTTTTGGCTGCTGTGGCTACAGAATCCTTCTGTATCGCTTCCTTGGTGATGACAGTTTTTTAAATTAAAATATAATACAAAGGAGAGGGGATTATGATACATTATGACATCAAGGTTTTACCAGTTTGAAATTTCTGAACCTGTGCCATCAGTTGCCCAGTTACTTATGCATGCTGGAAAGGTATTAGTATTCTGATGCGGTGACTTGAGGCGTGCTCCAAGTAGGAGCACATACCTGCAGGATGTTTAGAGCTCGTCGCATATCTCCGCTGGAAAGAGTTATAAGTGCTTTCATTCCATCTTCCGTTATGTCAACGCTGAAAAGAAAGAGACAAAGGGGACTTCAGAGGCCTCCCAAGAGTACAAATATCTACCAGAGAGAACAACATGAACTGGAATGATAGGGGGCCTTAAAAAAAAAAAAGAAGCAGAGTTAATATTCTCCTGATCTGTCCAATCTAGAACTCACTCTGGCTTCTAGGAACGTGAGCTTCACATGAGTAGTACTAGCCCACTTAAAATCTAGAAAGGCCCTGACTCGGGACCAAGCATTATCTGAAGAATATTCTCTGCAGAGCAGTGAACCTTGGCTCGATCTGTGACCACAGAGCTGAGGTGCCTTTAGAACCAGCATGGCTCGAGTTGGCTTCTTGTTCAGTACTGGATTACACAGAAGGCATGTCTCAGAAGCTTTTTTGCAGAAGGGCCGCCTCGGCAGCCTACGGTTCCCAGTGACAAGAGTGGGAGGAAACTGGGATAGCTTCCAGGGAAGGAGGATGGAATCCAGAGAAATCAAGGGAAACACCAAGTGACTTTAATGGGATGAATGTCCCTAAGACACCAGAGAAAATGGTAGCAGCTACCAGTCCAAAGGCTTACCCGTGCCAGGCAGTCTGCTAGGTTAACCGACATCATGGCCTTTAACTAGGAAATGGCCAGACAAGCCCGAACCCTGCACGCCGTTCCCAGAGGCCACAGCACACTCACTTCTCCTCTCCTACGACGTGTTCCAGGCGGGGAACCATGAGTTCAGGAGTCAGGGGACCGAATCGGAACCTCGTACACCGGGACTGCAAGGCAGGGATGATCTTTGACAGATAGTTACAGATGAGGCAGAATCTGGTATTCTCAGTGAATTTCTCAATCACTAGTGAGGAAAGGAAAAAAGCACCTCATGCCAAAGTTCAGTTCCATTCTCCAAAGGACCCAGACACCTAAGCTTTACTATAGTCATGGGGAGGATCCAAAAAAAGATTTGCGTCCGGACGCAAACAAGTGGGGATCCTACCTGCAACAAGAGGGCGTCACTGGTCTGTTCAGATTAACCACTCCCCTTTCAAAATGAACATGTCACCTCCACAGACTTCTACAGAACACTTCCTTCTTAATGATTCGCCCACATTTTGGCACCCCTGTTACCTCATCCCATTACCTCAGACCTAGTATTCCTGTCCTCTTGTATAGAAATTATATTTAGCAAGTTGATGATGCCTGTCTTTTAAATTTATTTTTCAGGGGGACCAGCAGTTGGACTCCCATGTAGTCGACCACGGTTTGAGCCCCGGAACCAGTGGCTTAAACTCATGCCAGGCACATGCATGCATGCCCGAAATCCTGAGAGAAGAATGGAGAAGGGATTGCATGTGGCCATCCACCTGGGAGGTGATTTCTCGCTTTCTGTCTCTCTCTCTCTCTGTCTTTCTGGTGAAGGCACACCCCTTATAGCAAAAAAATCTCCCCACCACCAAAAAAATTATTTTTTAGAGGTTTTTGCTGTAGAGCATGTGCACCCACTGGAGATCGACACAATGAAAGAAAAAGTGAGAAATCACCCCCTGGGGGGATGGTTATACCACAATCCTTTCTCCCCCCCATTCTCCTCTTGGATCTTGGACAAGAGGAGATCCTGGGTCCAGGACTTGAACCACAGTTGGCTATGTGGGAGTCCAGCAACGTAACCACTACGCCATCTGCTGGTCCCGCCTTTTTCATTGATTTCTTCCATGATGAGAGAGGGACAAGCATCCCCAATAAGATCTTTAAGGCCTAACCCACCCCCCAGCCTCAGCCAGCTTGGATTACAGGCCTGGCATATGCAGCAAGACCCTGGGATGTGAACCCAGGACCTTCATGCAGGAGTTCAGCACTGCAGAGTGTCATGTCACCATTGTGCCACTGTCGCCCTTGGTGGGGAGAATAGCTTTTTGCAGACTTTCCAATGGATCCGCAGACCTAAGGCATTTGAGAGAGCAACAACCCAAACTGAGAGATGCTTATGACACTAGTTTCAGTCTTTGAGTACCCAGTGTTCTCACACTGGGATGTGGCCAGACTGACAGTCACTCTGCAGAACAAGATGCCGAAGAAAGGCTGCCAAAGCTTCAGGACTAGAAGATACTCTGTCCTCCTCCTCCAAACATGTGTTGCAACGGTCTCCTTCCTCACCACTCCTAAAGACCATTCTCTCTCAGCTGCTCCCACCCCCTTTTTTTTTTTGAGAGAGAGGTTTTTGTTATAGGGCACGTGCACTAGCCAGAAAGACAGAGAGAAACAGATAAAGTGAAAAATTATTCCCAGGAGGGGATGGCCACACCACAATCCCTCCTCCTCCATTCTCCTTTTGGAATCTTGGGCACGCACACACACAGGAGTTTAAGCCACCAGGTCCGGGACTCGAACCGTGATCAACTACATGGAAGTCCAGCGACATAGCCATTACACCAACTGCTGGTCTTCCCCAGCTGACTTTTTTTAAGAGAGATTTTTTTTTGCTATAGGATACATGCACTTGCTGGAGAGACAGAAAGAAATCACCCCTGGGGGGATGGACACATCATAATCCCTTCTCCTCCCTGGATTCTGCATGCACATGCACCTGGCATGGATTTCAAGCCTCTGGGTCCCAGCCTTGAACCACGATCAGTTATATGAGAGTTCAGCACCTTAACCACTATGCCACCTGCTGGCCCCACTCCCAGTTATTTAACTCAGCATCTTAGTGAGATTTTGATGCAAGCAATGAGCTGCCCCCTTAGGAAAGACAAGTCATGGGATATTCTCCCTTCCCGCCTAATCATTTGGCAGGTAGTGAAGTACAGTTAGCTTTCAGAGTACCACTAAAATTCATGTTTTCTTTTCCTGGCTGTTTTGTATATAAGGATTACAACAGCTTAAAGTTCTATCTAATAGGTTAGGAATGAAAGCCTTTCCATATCTTTCCATCAAATGATATAAATTCCCAGCCCTGAAATTGAACCCAGTGGCAGAAGAGGATGAAGTGCCAGTGCCTGGTCACACATAAAAGTCCCAACAGGGCTTCTGTCCTTAAGCTGCTTAGGAGGAAACACCTGCCACGTGGCTATCTGTCTGGATCATCAGGTGGGATACACAGAGAAAGGAATACGGAGGCTTTACTGGGCCAGAAGATGAACACAGATGGAAAACAAGCCGCTGTATCTCAGGTCCTCAGGTCCTAGTTCTCGGTGCACTCACCAGCCGTCACCCTGTACTCAGGGTACCTCTTACCTCTTCTCAAGGCATTCTGGGCGTCCTGCGTCATGGCATCAGCTTCATCCAAGATCACCAGTTTAAAGCCTTTCCTAAGAAGACAAACGGCACCGTCTAAAGAATTCTTCCATGTTCAACCTCCATCTTCAGGTTTGTGCCATCAGACCCTTTCTGAGAAAGCCCATTTATCTCAGAATTATTATTATTTTTTTTAGTTTATTTCTTCTGAGAAGGGGGGAAAGCACCTCCAAAAGGGTGTCACACTGTGACCCATGCCTAGCCTCAGCACCAGCCAGCCAGGAGCACAGGTATGTGCCCCTGCACACCTGGCATGCTCAGGGAGACCTTAGGATGCAAACCCACACCCCGCCCGTGTGGCCCTGGCACCATGGAGTGCTGTACCACCGCTGTACCACCACTGTACCACCACGCTGGCCTCTCTCAGCACTGGCACCCAAGCCGACATCCGTCCTCACAGAGGAAACGCCTCCTTAACCCTTCAGCCCTCATGGGCAGAGGTGGTCTTTATGTTTTATCCTCTGGTGCTGCTGCTGCCCTTGTGCAGAGTATCCTCCCTCCCTCTGGCTTTTTCCCTACCTCCTTCACTTTGCACCTAGGTCTTTTCACCTTTTTCACCTTTTTTTTTTTTTTTTTTTTTT